TGGATACCAGATAGAAAGTGGAGGATAACCAGACTACAATTCACAGCTAGGTAACATGAAGATCCTAAGAGGGATTTATGGAGTGTCCTTGGAAAGGGAATTAGATGAGCTCTCCCAAGTAAACATAAGGATAGGTGATGGTAAAGGGGAGGGGAAGGGGGGATGACAACATGTGGAAAACAGATGGACAAGTTGGGAGAGGAACAGATTAAGGGAAAATGAAAGACATATTTTGATAAATGGAGCCTTTATGAAGTTAGGGAGAAATGTGGTGCTAGGGATACTCCCAGAAATCCATAAGGATGAACCCAGCTAAGACTCCTAATAATAGTGGATAGGGTGCAGGGAATGGCTTTCACCTGTAATCAGACTGGCTAATATCCCAAATGAGATTATAAAGACTACATCCTGTAATGGATGGAAACAGATTCTGAGATCCACAACCAAGAGTTCTGAGAATTCAGTGGAAGAGAGAGAAGGGAATACATGAGCAAGGTGGGTCAAGACCATGATGGGAAAATCTACAGTGACAACTTAATCAAACTCTAAGGGACTGACAAATTATAGACTGAGAGCCATGGCACCTCTGCCATCTGCATGTGGGAGAAACACGGACCTCTGGTTTTGGGAGACAAATTTGTAGCTGGGTCTATCTGAGGAGCCCCTGAACAAGGATCCAGATCTGTCTATGGTGCATGAGCTATATTGTTGGAGCCCATTCACTATGGTGAGATGGTATGCTCAGATTTACTGCAGGAGGAGGGGCTTGGCCCTGTCTCAACTTATGGGCCAGGTATTGTTACAATTACACGGGATAACCTACACTGTGGGAGGAGGGAATGGAAAGATGAGCTGCTTGGCTACAGGACACAATGTGTGTCCGGAGAACGATGTTTGGAATGTGAAATGAAATTTAAAACAACTAAGTTAAAATAAAAATGGGAAAATGATTTATAAATTTCCGATGGAAACACCAGTGACCAATAATAGCTGAAACAATCCCAAACCATGAAATGAAAAATGAAGCAAAACAATAGAACAAAACCAAAACTGCTGGAAGCATCACCATTCCAGATTTCAGGTTACAATACACAGTTATAGCAATAAAAATTGCAAACAACTGTATTCATCAGTGTCAGATAATGTAGGATACACATACAATCCCATAGCCTTACATTCCCTTGATTTTTGGAAAAGAGGCCAACATTTCACATTATGGAAGACAAAGGGTCCTGATCAAATTGGACAGCTGTAGGTAGATGAATATAATTTGATTCTTATATCTTACTCTGCACAAAACTCAACTTCCAATGAACCAGGTATCTCACTGAAAATCCAGAAATGTACAGACTAATAATCAATGCATTAGCACAACAAAAGACTTTCTCAACAGGACACGGGTTGTACAAACACTACCAAGTAATTTCCAAGACTTAATAAAGGGAACAGCATGAAACTAGAAATCTTGTGAACCACAAGACAACATGGAAGAATGGCTAACCTTAACCCTAACCCTAGCCCTGCAGGCCATGGTGGCTCTCCAGCCATGCCAGCTTTAGCAAGTCTGGGCCTACCATGAGCCATGGCCATGTCCTTCCAGCGCCGAGGAATCAGAGGCCGCCCACAAGCGGGGTGGTGGGTTGGCCTAAGAGCAAGTTGGGCCCAGCCTCAGTGGTGATATTGGGTGCTTATTGAACCACAGCAGGAGGTCGCAGGCACAGGATGCAATGCTGCAAGCACAAGGCCTGCCTGCAGACGGACTGCCTAGAGCGCTGATTTTGCAAGGATATGAAGAACTTTGGAGGCCCCAGGTACATGAAGCAGAGTGGCATCATCCTGCAGTGCATCGCGCCAATGCTGCCCCACACCGCTGTGTGCCTTGTGTGTGGCAAGGCAGGGAAGGAGGACACAGAAGAAGAGGAGGAAGGCAAGTTTAATGCAACGAGATAATCCACCCTGGATGCCTTAAGATTAAGGAATCAGAGGGAGTGGTCAACAAAGAACTTCCCAATTGCTGGGAGTATCTGAAGTGTTACAATGCTGGCAAGACCAGAAAACAAAAGCAAGGCCCTGGCTTTAAGTTTGCCTCCAACCTGCCTGGCTCCTTGCTCAAGGAGCAGAAAATGAACTGGGATAACAAGGAAGCACAGGAGCCTGCCAAGTGGAGGAGTGATTGTGAAGAGGCTCCCGATGCAGGTCAGATGAGCATCCCAAGAAGGTGCCTGCAGATGTCTGATGATGAGCACCCAAGGAGGAAGAAGAAATACGAGAAGCCCCAAGAGCTGAGTGGATGCAAGCCAACCTCGAATCTTCAAAAATGTACCCATTCCTCCTCCTGCCTCTCCTCTAGACCCACACTCTAGGCAGCAGTCTCAGCCCCTTTAGGAGATCCAGGCTCACTTATTTCCAGCAACAGCTAAAACCTGGCAAAGAAGATACGTTTTTCAGGAAAAATCGGCGATCCTGGATGAACACTGATGATCACTTGGGACTGGCCAACAAGCCAATTTGGTGCTTCAAGCAGGAACTAGAAGATGACCAGCCTGAGGCACCTCCTAAAAGCCAGGAGAGTGACCAGTTACATTCCAGCTCACTCACTGCTGGGCCCTGCACTGAAGGGGCTGAAGGCCCAGAAGGATAAATAAGGTGAAGATGCTCCGGAAACGGCGGTTTCCCAAAAGGAGCTGAGCAAAGAACTAAGCAAGGATCTCAATCACGAGATCCAGAAGACAGAGAGTACCTTGGCACATGAGAACCACCAGCCCATCAAGTCTAAGCCCGAGAGTGAGAATGAGGAGTCAAAGAGGCCCCTAATCCACTTCAAGTGCCCCCACCACTTCAGCAAGAGGCTTAACGGTACCTCTAGGGAGTTACAGCACCCACTAGGACCTGGCCTGTGCAGCCCACCTCGGGTTATCTTCCAATGCCCTCCTGCTTCGTCCCTAGCTATGTGCATCCAGACGGAGCATCATGTGATCCCACTGCCACCCTCAGCCCCCACCTGACTCGCTGCCCCTTGATGATGGAGCAGCCCCTGTTATGCTCAGGGAGGTGTGGATGGCAGATTACAGCTACCTCAGACACCAAGGCCTGTGAGTCTGCATGCGGGTCTGCAGAACCTGAAACCACTGGTGCTGCGTTAAGCAGGTGTGGACCCGCATTGACTTGAACCACTGCAAGTCCATCAATCCCCTGATGCTGAGCGGCATCATCCAGTGACAGCCTGTCTCCCTTGACCTCAGCTGGACCAAAATCTCTAAGAAGTAGCTGAAATTGCTCATCCAGCGGTTGCCTGGGCTCTGAGACTTGGTGCTGTCTGGTTGCTCATGCATTTCTGTCTCAGCCCTCTGTGGTTCCAGTTGTCCATTACTCGGGTCCCTGGATGTTCAGTGGGTAAAGGATTAAAGAATGCCCAGATGCGGGATCTCCTGTGCCCACCCACAGACAACACACAGGTCAGGTCAGAAGGACTATTGGAGCACATTGTAATACTGCGCCTAGCTGGTGTGGACATCACAGACGCTTCCCTGCAGCTCATTATCCACCATATGCCCCCGCTCTCCAAGCTCCACCTCAGTTACTATAACCATGTCACTGATCACTCCATCACCCGGCATGCTGTAGTCGGCACTACCGCTGCATTCTCTGACAGAGATCGTTCTATCAGACTGCAATAAGGTCACTGACCAGCGCCTGTCCTTCTTCAAACGCTTTACAAATATCAGTCATATTGATCTGAGGTACTGCAAGCAAGTCACAAATGAAGGCTGTGAACAGTTAAAAGCTGAAATGTCTGTGAGTGTTCAATTTGGGCAAGTGGAAGAGGAACTCCTGCAAAAACTAAGTTAGTTCCAGGACAAGCATGTAAATATGGAGGGTTGGGGGTACACAGCCTGGGAGGGAAAAGACTCCAAATCAAGTGGGCTTATATTTCCTTTGGAATTTGGAACAAGAGACCACAGGACACAGTTCTGATTCCCAAGTCTTGCCAAGGGAGAATCCTTTCAACTAACCATTTGGGGATGAGTGAGCCAGATGTTTTCCTCTGTTCTTTCTGCATCATAAGTGCACTGTTTCTGGACCATTTCTAAGGCAGTCTGTAGGAGACATTCCAGTTGGAAAGGAAGATGAGCTTTGGAGAAATTCTCTTAGAAGCCTGAGCTTAGTGTTCTTGTTGATAGATTTTGTTTGAGACACCCTGTTCCTTGCAATACCAAGGCTTCTGGTGTTAATTAGAGAGAACTACACACACCACCTGCAGCTGGCTTAACACATTTTGTAGTTGGTTTTGTTACTGCATAACTATTTTTTATAAATTGTTAAAAATTATTTATGGAAGATTTGAATGCATACCAATGTTTTTATTATTTGATTGCCAACTTTCCTGCAGGTATGGAGAACATAAACTTTACTTCATCAGCATAAAGAGTCCATCTACAGATGTGCCTTGGTGTGAGAGGGGCTATTAACTTCCACTTAAAATCATATTTAACTGGATGTTGAGGGCCTACTGTGTATGTAAAGAAGTTACAGAAGCATGCTGTGTTTAAGTATAAAGTATAGTCCAGGTAAAACACATTGTCAGGTTTCAATAGAGAGTTCACCTCATCCTCAAAATCTTACAATTCAGATATCAGCCTTTACACCCAGGAAGCTTTTGCCATAAGCATGAGCTCTTACATAATTCTATTGGCATAGATCTAATTTATACTATGAATCAAGTAAATGTATCCGAAGCCTTCCTTTCTTTCGGAGTGTTCAGTTTTCACTGAAGTTGTTAACCAGGCTATTTTCTAGTTGTCATGTTCTGCATCCATAAGTGCCTTTGTTGTTGTGGTATATCTTAGACCTTCTCTGATGCCGTTTTACTTTTGTTGTATTTGCATAAACAATTGTAGAAAAAAATGTATGATGTAGTTTAAACTGTAGCATATAGGCCTATGACAATATTTATGAGGCAAACAATAGTAAATGAGAAATTTAAATTTCACATACAACTTCTTGATTTTCTTCAATCTTATTGAAAGTTTTCTCCTCTTGAAGTTTTGATTCTGGCATTTCTTCTCCTAGTTCTTCTGAAAACTCTTTGTTTTCCATGAAAAACAAAAATGCAAACAGGTAGGAAAATGTAATTCTATTGGGCAAAATATTACTCATTAAAAATGGAAATAAAAGGTGAAAGATTTATACAATCTAAAGAAAATCCAGAGTCCTAAGTCTATGCCAAGTTATGGGCTTATTTTGACACATACATGCTTTATATGATGTGTCAGGAAATTTACAAATGACATGTAGGCTTACATCCTCATAGGAAGATAATGTGGGAAGATGACACATCAATGCTGAACCCTCCTTGCCTTACAAGAGTAACTTTAAATAACTTACTAATCACTTCATCAGAATTACACTTGGTCTACCACACATTTATGTGTAAACAGGATAACATACTTAAGATGTACACTGACAAAATGTTCTTTTATGAATCATTCTAGTACATGGAGACTTTCTGTAATTAACATCTTATTTCTTCCAAGGAAAAATTGGTGTTGGTGTCTTTTTAGCCATCCTAGGTCAACATAATCCTTAAACTCTTCTTTGCCCATTAGCTGGAACCCACTTTGATACAGCTGTGTCCATTTTTCTCAGTGACATGTAGGAACTATATTTAGGGTCATCCTTAGTTCAGCAGATATCATTTGGATTTTGTTTTTCTTTAACAATTTTGTGTGTTCCTGATAAGTTTTTACGTTAGGTTTTGAAAGGGAGACATTCCAGACATGATTTCTTCACTGATATAAGGCCTGTTCTGATGCAGATAGATTTTCAGGCAATAGTCTACAGGGAATGGAAAGTTGTAAAAGCGAACAACATATATATGGACTGCTCTGCCATATGATAGCATGTCCTAATTTATTGTAATAGATTATAGATATGGTTTAAACTTGCTATTCCTATTCTTTCTAATTAAACTACTACCAGATAAAGACAGGCAGTGTACTATGAGTTAAAAATAAAACAAAAATTGAATTTCTCTTGTGATAATATGATGTAATGCTGATTGTCCAGGTCAGAATAGAATCACAGTGCAAAACCAAGATCTATCTTACCTTTCAACTAGCTTTACTCTAGATGAAAGAGAAAATGAAAAGACAACCATTAATCATCAAAGTGTCATTTAGCTTCATATGAAAATATGGAAAAAGAATACCAGGGAACACACACAGGGTCAACAAAGCAAGTTCCAACTTTGAGGAAGTCTCATTTAGTCACAGGATGAACTTCTCTAAGTCACTACTTAACAGAATGATTGCTCAATGGAAAGGTTAAAGTGATTGAATCTGATATTAAAATCGAAGCTGAGAACAATTTTTAAATTATTTATGTTGCCAACATGAATATTTTTGAAGCACGTATGCCACAAATGAGATGTCCTCACTAGGGACAAACTCTATTATCAAGTTTATAATTGGTATCTTGTTGGGTCCGAGCTCTCCACGGGGTCTCTTTGAGTCGCTGGTCAGCCAACAGGTGCATCCTGTTTTCGAATCCAAGTGCATCCTGTTTTCTAGTCCTGGCTTATTGAACTGAACTTGCCACACTGACTTCAACATACAGCATTAGGAAAACATGATCTCTTCCACCTGGGGAATTTCCACTGTGATGCAAGCCTGTATATAAGGCTGCTCCCTCTCTACAAGGATGAAGAGACCTTTTAGGACAATAGACCAGACATGTTGTCTTTCATTTCAACCTCCAATCTTTGGCCTGATATGTTAGACTTGTTCGAGGGCACAGGTGGCACGAGGTGGGGGTGTCTGTGAGTTGCTGGTCAGCCAACAGTGTCTGGAAGAGTGTTTTCATGTGAAATGTATTGGTATTCATTGATCAGAAGAAGTAAACAAAGGAAATTTACCTGCTTGAATTTGCCGTGGTTCAGACTTGGGTTTGCAGACTGGATGAGAATAATCCCTCAGCTGTATGGACATTGAAATGAGATATACATGTAATTATACAATGTAATTAGTAAGAAGCATTACCTCTGGGTGTGGACATTTTACACCCCAAACTGAAAGAGAAAGAATATATAATCAATGTCATATACAATGACAACTCCAAAGTTTCCTCTTTGAAGGCTTTGCATGGCAATGAGTTCTTATTCCCTTCTCTCAAAATTAATACCTATGATTTTACTGGATAGGACACACTGGAAGAAAAAAGCTACTTCCATACATGGGGCTGACCAAACATGATGGCTGCATGAAGAAGAATGAACACAGCCCAGTATATCTCACCCTAAAAATACTCAATTCCAAACAGATCATGGACTTCAAAACAAGATCATAGAGCCTTAACATAAAAGAAGAGACAGTGTGGAATAGTACTGGTTCAGGAAACAAGTCTCTGAAGTAGACAAATGCAACACAGGCATTAAGATGAACATTTAATAAATGGGACAACATGACGCTGAAACCTTCTTCATAGCAATATATGTATGTGTTATGGGATTTTCAATGAGGGATCCTATATTTGATAGGGTGATATGTCATTGAAATAGACTTATAGATATTATTATAAATAACATTCCTATTCCTTGTAAATAAGTTACAATGCACTGCAGACAAATGTAAGCAGTGCACTTTGAGTACAACAACAAGACAAAAGATGATTTTCTTTTCTGAAGATGTGGTATAATATTGTGTGTCCAAGGCAGAAAATAATCTGTCATCTCAGTGTGTTTCTGCCATTTCCTTTCTGGCACATTTGAACATAAGTGCTTCAGAGAGATAGATATTATGAAATGACATTCAGATATTAGGGAAGTCTCATGTCTTCTATAAGACACTAATAAGCAGAATGATTGCACACTGGAAAGTAAAGAAGTTCATACATGTGTATTAAACATTAACGATGAGGTTAAATTTCGAAATATTTTATTGTCACTGTGAATGTTTTAAAGCATGCTTGCTACTAGTACAATAGTATTGCTTATTACAAAGCCTACTGTAAATACTATCCAGACACAATTGGTACTGAGAAGTTTGTGTGTATGTAATATATGATAATATATATGTGACTTTTGAAATTTACATGCTTGAGATTGCTGTGTTACAGACTCAGATTTGCAGATTGGATGCAAATTATCCCTCATTTGAATAGATTTTGAAATGAGATATTTAGTCAGTATATGGAACTCAAACAACATGTAATTATTTCATGTTAATATTAAAAGGGATTTACCTCTGGGTGTGAACATTTTATGACCCAAACTGAAAGAGAAATAATATATCATCAATCTTATGCAAAATGACAACTCCAAAACTGTATCAATGAAGGCAATGGATGGCCATGAGGTCTCCTTCCCTTCTCATAAAATAAACACCTATTATTTTATGGAGTAGCACAGCACCTGACAGAAATATACTGAGACATACCAAAACCAATGTACAAAGTCAATGTAATCCACATCGAAATTCCTACATATCTTATAAAAGAAATGGTAAACACAACCACAATAGCATCAAAAAGCCTTCCAGCTTCACACAGAAATACAAGTAAAAACAACCAGAAAACCAAACACCAAATACATTTAAAATGATGGTAAATACTAAAAGAGGCTTCAGAAATCAGTGTCTCAGATGGCACATTTTAATACAGAGTTAGAGCAATACAGACAGCATGTTTTATCATCAATACAGACAAATTTATGTCCAGATAGAAGTCCATACCCCAATAGCCACATGATTTTTGATAAAGAATCAAGAAAAACAAACAGGAAAATATCTCCCAAACACGATGGTGACCTTGTTTGAAGGCTCAAAGCAGAATGAACATAGGTTTATATATATTAACCAGAACAGAACTCAATTTAAATGGGTATAGGGCATCAAACCATGACAATAGACCCTGTATATGACAGAAGAGAACGTGTTGAATAGGCTTGAAACCACTGGTACAGGGAAATACTTTCTGAAGTGTGCACCTGTACCACAGCACTAAGTCACACATTTAATACATAAGGCCACAAAACTGAAACATCCTTCATGGCAAAGGATACCAGGGTACAGAATGAGAAAACAGTGTTAGCTAGTAAACATCTAACATGCAGTTAGTATCTGAAATATATAAAGAAGAAAAAATTGGACTCCCAGAAAACCAATAAGCCAATATAAACCATACAGATGAACACAGAGAGAATTTTTAAAACATGAGGCACATATGGGCAAGAATCAGAAGAATGCAAACCAAAACTACTTGGAGATTTCATTTTGCTCCTGTCTAAAGGGCTAAGATCAACTAAACAAATGACTATTCATTCATGTGTGGATGTGGTGAAAAAACAAATACTTATTCATTACAGGTGAGAATACAAACATGTACATCCATTACAGAAACCAATTTGGGATTTTCTCTGGAAGCCTGAAGTCCACCCATACATCTCTTCATCATTTACCGAAAGACTCTATGTGCTACTACATAAATACCTGCCCATGAATGTTCATTATTAATCTATTTATGAAAGTCAGATTCTGGAAAGAGCCTAGATGTCCTTTAACTGATGAACATATAATGAAAATGTGATGGATTTCCATCATTTTTCCTCTATCAAAATTAGATATTTTGAAGATTACGTATGAAGAGATGAAGCAAAATAAAACATGGATAGTGAGGAGACCCAGATCCAAACCCAAATATGGCATACATTCCCTTATGTATGGGTGATAGCATTAAAGCCTTCAACAAGTATGCCAAAATACATCAGACCAGAGAGATTCAGCTTCAAGAAAGGAGTGCAGCAAAGGATCACTCCAGGAAACGGAAATAGAATACACACCAATAGATAGACACTAGGAGGATTAAATGGGAAGGGCAATTTACTAATTTCCACTTGAAAAGTCACATGGAAACATGCTACTGTAGAAGCTTCCTAAGTAATTATGTGTATAAAATAAATACAAAAAGTCTCCAAGTAAGAGAGTGTACTGTGTGAAACCTTAAGTTATGCATAGTTGAGACAATGGACAAAGCAGACCCATGAAAGCCCGAAATATGTCACATAGAAGAAAACTCTTAGATCATTCTGTGACTACCTCAATTTTACACATTGCTCCCTTTTATAACTCTGTGGGTCTTATAACCACTATCATTCCTGTAAGTATGAATTTATTCCCTGATTTCTTCGGCTAGTATAACATACCAGCTTTTAGTCTTACATAAAATGACTTCATGATGGTGCTTACCTTGACTCATATGGTTTACTTCTGCATCACTTCCTGGGGTGGAAGTGTGCGGGGACTTTCTGGAAGATTCCTGCAGTGGATTAGGGTAAAAGGAACACTGTAAAATGATATGAATAATGTGTATCATAAGGGTCTCATTTCCTATGTCCGAATTTAATATGATACCTCATTTTAAGAAAATTGTTCATAAAATATAAGCAGTATGATATTTGAATGGGGAATCTGACATGTACAGTTGAATTTAAGTCTATCTGTCATTTCTCATGGAAACTAATGATGAATGAGTAATATTGTAGTGGGAATTCTAACTGGTCTTAATAATAAAAACCCAGAGTCAGATATAAGGGAAAATGTTGGACTATCTGAGAAGCAGAGCTGCTTGCTACTAGTTATTTCTTCTAGGAAATCCTATGACTGACTAGGTCAATATCCTGTCTCTACAAATCATCAGACTGAATGCTGTCTCTTAGCAAACCTCAGTCTGTATCCTCTGAGTTTTTGTCTCTTCCTGGTTTCTGTTTACTCTCTGGCCAGTCATATCTCTCCTATCACTAAATCCATAGTACTGGGAATAAAGCTGTGTGCTATATCTCTCTTTTAGACTGATTCAATATCATCTAGCACAAAATGTCCTTTAATTCATAGAAATCACTTTGCCTCTGTCTTTCAAGTGCTAAGGTTAAAGGTGTGTGCCTCTGCTGCCTGACCTGTATGGACAGTTAGTGGCTTAGCTCTGCACTTGCATCTTCAGGCAAGTTTTTGTGCATCCATCCAAAATATCCCCATAAAATATAAAAGAAAATCAGTATCCACACACACAGAGTGATGCCTGATATGTATATGTCAATATATGTAACATTTTTATATTACAACACATAAAACCAATTTGTACTTCTTAGTAAAGTTGAAGGATGTTAATTACAAGAATGTTTATAAAACTCTAGTAGGTTCATTCCTCTTGTACAATATTAAAATTAATCAAGAATTGTTATGTAGTAGCTATATGTTGGTTAGACTCCATATGAAATATGTATTATATGAAAATATTTGTATTGTATCATATTGATTATGAAAGGTAAAAGGCTGAAGGGTTTCCTTTTCAGTAAAAACGAAGGAAAAGAACTGACACACATTTAAATTCCTTAAGAAGTGGTAAATACTGGATCAAAACCATAAAGACAAGGATTTTTGCTGTAAAATCTTTAAATAGTTCCATTAGAATATTAATAGTTTTAATATACAAATAATTCTCAGGGGATAGAATTCTTAGACAACAAATTTTCACCATTTCTTCTACATTTTTACTAGAATGACCAAATCTTCCTTTCTGATCATTTATGAATTTTACAAGTTATGAGAAGATGCTGTCTGCAATTCCATTTGCCTAGTAATGCCATCCTATTTGACAGTCAGTGAATGGACACATACTCATCTTCTAAATCATGTTACCCTTCATACTTAGATATCTGGGGACCAATTACCTTCCTCACTCTTGTCCTGGGTTAATGACAATCTTCCATAAACACCCTCAACTACCATATATTTTCATTCCTAAAAAATCAATTAAAACTAAAATGTTTGATTTTTACTTCTTTCGTGTTCTGTCACTATAGCATATGTGTCTTTCTGGAATACTCCTTGCTTAATTTGTCAACACAGTGTATATATTCACTATAGAGATTTGTGTAGGTTTACATTAAAATTGTCTTCAGAATGCCCTTACACTTCATGGAGCAAATAACATGGTGGTGTGTCTCTGAACAGACTGTGGAAAAGGAAAATCCAAAGAATTATAAATCTATTTGAATTCTCTACATTGACACAATTCCTAATAAGGAATTAAGGACTTTGGACAAGAATGTGGAAATAGTTGATTTTATTCATTGAATTTTGAAAATATTTGAGTTGTTCCTTAATAATTAGTTTCCTTACTATAAGGAAAATTTCTTTTTTGGCAGTTCAGTTAAATACAGGGCCATATTATCTACTTGAATAAGGACTTTGAAAAAATCTGATGACCATGAGGGAAATATTGCTCCTTGGCAGTAGTGAGTATAGTCATCACATCACAATTTTTTTGTCTGCATGTTGAGTCAATTCTATGAAATGAATCCATTTATGAAATCCTCAATTCTATATTCTCTATTTCAGGAGGCTTTTCACCCACTCAAAGAACTTAATGCAGACCATAGCCATAATCACATAATTAGTTACTCAACCCCAAAATAAAACTTTTAGCTGTGTGACTGGGCTCTAAGAATACATGTAGGTAAAAGTGTTTCATTTTAAAGTTAAATTCCTCATCTATTGACTACATATAATAGCCTGAAATATATTTTACTTTGCCCTATGGTAAGATCATTAAGCCAAACAGTATAAGTAAGAAATGTGAATTTAAGCAATTACATACCAAGTTTTCATATCCTTTATTCTTATAAGAGACATCTTCATTTTTCAGTTTTAAATTTGGTATTATTTCTAATTATAGTTCTTCTGTCAAATTCATATTTTATTCAAAAATAAAAACAGCAATTAGATACAAAATATTCTGTGCCAGTAGTTGAAATACATTCCTAATTAGAATTTAGAAGATTACACTTATTAAAGATTTCAATTAAATAGACTTTGAAAATGAACACTTATATCTTTAGAAAATGACATAGGTTTTGAAATACCACTATATCACCTGTAAACACTACATGTCATAAGTTTCAAGATAACCAAATATTTGACCACTTCATACAGAAATGAGTTCATCTCACACAAATGGACAAGAAACATATAATGTATATTTTCAAATGTCATAGAATGGAGAACATTAATCAGGTGCTCACACTGATACACACACACACACACACACACACACATAAACACATACTTACATTCAGAAACATATAAATGAAAGACACTTAACAAAAATTGGGAAATAATTGAACCTCTTTCATTGAAATGACCTAAAGTTTTACTTAAAAACTCTATTGCTTATGACACATATTTGTGACCCAGGATTTGGAGGAATTGAGCTATAACTGACATGGAAATCTACTCTCATACTATGAGAACACATTGTAGAATTATGAAGGGAGCTGAGCCTCATTAATCGCACCAGCAGTACGTGATACACAAGAAGATCCAATGACCCTGGTAAGATTTCCCTTCATGGTGTGAGTGTGGCATTTTTGTTTTAAGGAAACCAACAGCTCTCTCATTAGTCTTTTAGGTTAACTCAAATAACACATTCTTTATGGAACAGGAATCCTAGCCAAACTCCCATGGACAGAGAAATCACAGACCGTAGGGATCATCTATTACAAGTACTTAATTAATACAATGTAGTTCATGGATTCTAAATAGGATTCTTATAGTCATGACTACATCCACAAAAAATGTATGTCTCATTTTTCTTTAAAGAAGTTGCTTTATGCAGCACATAGACTAATTGAACATATCTGCAAGTGATCAAAATGGAGAGAGTGACCATAGTGTGCCCATGGCACTCGTACACAACCCTAAAGCTAAGGTTCATTAAAAATAGCAAAAGTCGGGCTGATAGATTTTAAAATCATTGTACCAGGGCTCTTAAAGCTACACAGCAGCTTCTATGCATGACTTGGTTGAGGCCAACATGATATTTGAAACATGTTATTTCTGAAAAAATTTCATGCCTAAGGTAAACAGCATATGAAATGCAACTATGGATGAAGGAGACCTCATAATGCTCAACTCCTAGATGGATATCTATAGACGTCAGTTATTCTAAAGACAAATCATATGTCTTTCCAGAAATGAACTCTATAAACTCTATAGTAGGCTATATAATTGCAAGGGGCAGTGCTAAACACATAGACATATAAGCAACCCTTAACAAATATACACAGACACACACACTCACACATACACACACACACACACACACACACACACACACACAACATGGAATGTCTTTACTGACAGTATAGAACTGAAGTCATACAAAAATTGCTAAGGAATCTGGCATAGGAATATTTGAAGACATAGTTGGAAGGGTAAAATGATGTAAATATACTAAATAGAATTAATTTATTAAAAATTTAATGAAATAAAATCAAAGTCAACTCTTACTGACATTTTATTATAATTTGCATAAAAGATGTTTTTGCCTAGCATCGCATTTTTTATTCCATTTTAATATAAATTCAGTAGGTGATTTATTTGACTAAGGTATCAGTTATCATTTTTTAAGCAAACCTCTGCCCAATGATCTTACAAGTTAAGGCTGTGCATTACCATCTTGTGCTTCCGTATTTTCATATTCTGTGGAGGCTCTTGTTAAGTCATTTGCTCCATTTTCTAGAGTATCCTGAGGTATATCTTGCTGAAATTCATAACAATAATGAAACGAATTTTTGAGAATATAGGTGAATTCCCTAGTTTGAATTCACCTAATCTTATCAGAACAGAAGTTTTAAAAATCAGAATATTTTAATAGATAAAATTATGCATGATATTTTGAACAACCAATATGTACCACTCATATCATCACATATGATAAAAACCAAGCCTGGAAACAGAAATAGAAAAATGATTATCTCAAGACATCAAGAAGGTATTAAACTCATAAAATAAATGTTACATTACTCATCAACCCTGAAACAAAGTTTTAAAACACATTTTTTTCAAATAATAATGCGTGTTCTTGTAATACAAAAGGTTTTTCTATTAAAAATAAATCTTGGGAAAGTCAATTTACTATGAGAATAAGACATGTGAATTGTTAAGAAAATACAGAATATGCAATGTGGAGAATAATTAAATATTTTAGAATCAGTACAAAGGAGGATATACAAAGCAAAACTTGTTTGGTCAAAATTTAGAGGTTAAAGAAAATTATTGCACAATCTATAAAAGCAAATTATCTTTATTTCTGTATAGAATATAATTACTCAATAAAATCATAAAGTCTTCCACAGCAAATACAGGGTATCATAATGGCATAACAAGCATTAATTTGAAGGGAAGCATCAGAACATTCATTTGACATCTGTAAGGTTCCAGATACTTATGTTTTGCAATTGTAGAGCAGATATCCTTGGACAACTATATTCTGATCATTTTCAATATATCAGTTGGATATTGGAAAGATAATTTAAAATTCACATAGATTACCTAGCCTCTAAATAGCATAACAATAGGATTTAAAACTTCATATTAATGCAACAAGAACTGTTAGAATTAATTTATATTCTATGATGCAACTTTATTGTCATTACACCAGTGGAGGGTATGTAAGTCTTCAAATACACTTGAAATACATTTCATTCTGATCTCCATATTCATAAAACGCATGAAGAAAGGAATAGAAATCCAAAACAGTGCAGGGAAACCCATCATAAGAACAAAAGGAAAAAATGGGATGCAGAAGATGACAAACACTTCATGCAATGCACACCATACTCAGTCAACAAGGAGAAGGGCGTCAAATCCACTTTAGTATTTCATTTTACCTAAGTCGCAGTGACCAAGGTCAATAAATAAAATGACAGCAGCTCAACAGGAGCAGATACAAGGAAAGGGAGACGTTTGTTCCCTGCTGAATGAAGTTAAAACATATATAACTATATGAAGATCTTTAAAAACATTCTGGGGATAACTCATTATGCACCCACTGCAAGCCTGATATGGGACTGATTATGACCTGGCTGTCCTTGAACCCATGGAAAGTTTCACATGTCACAGTCATCCAAATTTTAGGATAAATTGTTCGTGCCATAATGCCTGGCTCAAAAATAAATTTAGAACAAATAATTAAAAACTGTTATTATACTGATTTTGGAGACACATATTGAATTACATAGCTTTAATGACCGTAAATTGTGTTTTTTCTACATAAAAGATCAAGACTTGGGAAATTGTTTATCATAAAACAAATGCAATAGGTTTTTTAACAGGGAACTTTATAAATGAATGTTCATTTCTGTACATGAATTTGAATGTAAGCTATTAATGAGATACCTTAAGTAACATAATAGGCTAGTCTATATATTTAGAAAAGCCTGAAAATTAAGAAAGTCAAATTATAATAAATAAGATATAAAAGCATGATTGTTTATTTGTCTGTATATCCCCAAATTTTAAATTCCCTCCGCTGTGTCAAAACTATAAAGATTTTTTTCTATGATTAGTTATTTCTTGCCTTAATTTTGGCTTTATTACCTGAAAATATCATGTTTGGGCAGTTCTCCCATTCAATACCTTAATTCTCCCATAAGTTTATTTTTAAAACAATCTGGCCAAATTTCCATCTACAATGATTACATTTTAATAACTGCTATATTTGAACATTTAAACTCTACAGGGGAAAATAAGTCCAAGAATTTATGTCAGAAATTGATCTGATTACCTGAGTTTCATAATTAGATTTCTCCTTGATTCTTGAAAACACAGAAATCGATGACTCAGATCGTAAGTTTTGAATTTTAAGGAAGCACACAACAAAATAGATGAGTAATGGTCAAAGAAATTTTTCTTGTCTTGAATCTTTACTTATTTGAATACCAAATGGAGTTTCCATTGTTTTTAGACATTTCTTCTTCTAGTCTCTGAACTTGTCCAGTAAAATTCACACATAGTTCCCCATACAATTGCCTGTCCTGATGATTGTACACATATTAAAATCAATTGATCCTATAATCTTTCAACATGAATTTAAATAAAAATAAGAATACCAAATAAAGAAAAACTATAACATGTCCTCATTCTGTTCTATTAATAAAGTACCAAGTTGTATAAAAAATATATGCCAATCTTCATTGCTCAGCATGGAAAACAACGATTTTTAGGAAATCATTATATCAATTCCTTGTAAAACAGCTACTGAAATTATGACAAACACATGATACCCTTGAAAACTGAGGTTATAAGCGAACAAACAAATGTGCACATTGATGTTAGGAATACTTTTTCAGGAAAGTTCAATCATTGTCATGTTATTACTCAGTGGTAATTCCTACTTGTTGCAGGTTATTCAAAAACTACCAAGTACTTTAAAACCTTCATGTGAGCTAGAGTAATGGCAGAGCCTCCTAGAAAAGCTGATCCCTTGAACTTTTTCCTCAGTTTCTCTCCACATTCTCTAGATATCTTCGATGTATAGGACATCACTCATGTTCCCTGTTCTGCAGTCTTCAGTGATGCATTCCAGCCTTTATTTTAACATCCCAGGAAGGTGCAGATTCCTGAAAGTATAGGCTCAAAGAACCTGAAAAGCAGCTAATTTCCAGGTTCAGACAAATAAGCTAAATGGAGAATCAGCAACACACATTCCAAGCCTAGACATGTTACTAAATTCTATGAATATGATGCTACACACTCCAAACTGGAGATGATATGTATGACGTTAGCAACGAATACAGGAAAAGAAGCAGCTGCCTGGGATCATATATACTTTCCATTCAGCTCCTTCCAGTCTTTGGTACTGATCTTGCTCTAGCCAGAACACTGTGACACCACATTCTG